AAGTCCATAATGTATGCAGGAGTGTAGCTGGAGTTTGTTTACAATGATTACATGCGGGTTCCAGATTGGCTTTGATCTTGGACAGCTTGTCTTTGGACCAGTGTAGCCACAGTGCACCACCTTAAACTGAATTACAGCATGTCTCAGACAGATTGAAGATGAGTAAATGTTCTTAATGATCCTTAACCAGACTGAGTCTGATATGAATTCCTCCAGGTTCATTTCCCATTTCAGTTTAAGGGAGTCCACACAGGACTCATGGTATGAACTGAGCAGTGTATAAATCTTACTAAGGACCCCCTTGGTGTCAGACATGCGTTCCAAAATCTTAACCACAAAATAATTAGAGAGGTACAAAGGCAAACAATCAGAGTCTGACCTCACAAAATGTCTCAGCTGCAAATATCTGACAAACTGTGATGTGGATATTCAAAAGAGGCAAATGTACCACTAACATAGAGATCATACAGTGAATGCACTCCCCTCAAAACCCAGGTGTCAAACAATATAAGATTTTAATGCTGTTCAGTGTCAGGAGGGCTGTGATCAGTCTTACATCGGGGAAACAAAATAGCCACTGGCCAAAAGGATGGCCCAGCACAGAAGATCAACATCATCAGGCCAGGACTCTGCGGTCTACACTCATCTCCAGGCCAGTGGTCACTCTTTCAAGGATGAAGATGTTCACATCCTGGACAGAGAGGAACGATGGTTTGAGAGAGGAGTAAAGGAGGCCATCTTTGTGAAAAGAAATCGTCCATCATTAAACAGGGGTGGAGGCCTCCGGGTTCAACTGTCCCCCTCTTACAATGCTGTGATTGCTAGTATCACTCAGCCCTCTGTGAACAGTAAACAGCCATCAGTGTGCTAATGATCCATTGTTAGGCTGATGGTCCTTCTTGAGCATGTGATCAGCTGGTTTTGGTTGTCAGCAGCAAAACTGGTTGATCCACTCTGAGAAGGTGCTATTTAAGAGACTGAGCTGAATACAGCTCCTCAGACTGAGGAAGTCTCTCGGATGAGAGACGAAACGTTTCTACATTTTTTTTGTTGATTTGCTTTGTTTTGTTTTTTTGAATGTCCAGAGGACCAGATTTAACTTTTTTAGATTTTTCTACCTGGATTATTGAGCATGCATCAGGATATTTTAAAAATAACACAAACTGCTCTGCTTCCATCTTTTGTTCGTTTTCCTGATGCGTTTAAGAAGATACTGTACATCATGTATTGATTCACAGAATCATCAAGACCAAAGAAACTGTTAATTCTTAATAATGTTTTGGTCCGTTACCACGTCGTGTTCAAGACAGCTGAGACATCGCCCTCGGTATAAAAGATTTATTTGACAAACAGGAGTTACAGATATTCAGAGACAAACAATTATATTTGTAAAATATATGCATATATTTGGAGCATTAAAAGAACGAACCGTCTCGGTCTGGTCTTCCCCGGAAATGCTCGCTGGGCGTGTGTCATTTCCGGCTTTTATCAAAGCTTGAGAAAGCTAGCTCTTCTGATTGGTTTAGCCCTTCGGTTACCATGGTTACTGGTCTACCCCGCCCCCTGAAGGACAGATAAAAAGTTTATGGCTCCCTGAAATCGGTTCTTTGTTTTAGCTCTGTTTCAGTTTAACTTGATTATACCTTAGTGATACCAAATGATTTGAGTTAAAGTTGTTTATTTCTAGGAATAATTAATCACTATTAATTATTAACTAACTCATGTTTATGTGTTCTTAATTGATCCCTCTGACTTATAGAGAACCTGAGGGATTTTATTTAGTCAAACTATATTAAGTCTAAATTAAAGAAATGTGTTCTAGCTTTATTTATGTTACCTTGTGCTCAGAGCAAATCTTACCTGCTATCTGGCATAATTTGATTGCTTGTAATATATCAAATGTGTACTTGTAAAATTATCATTAGCTAATATAAGATTATATGTAAAGGTAAAATAGTTAGAATTAGTAAACATTTTCTATAAATATAGTTCACCCCTGGAAGAAAGGCACACACACACTTTGTATAACATGGCATTTGAATGCTTGATAGGAAATATAAAAAGGTATAAAAATATGAAATCCAACAATAAAAATGACAAATAAATTTACTAGTTGTAAATGGAGACAAATTCAAACTTCAGTGACACACTGAATGCTGGGAGATTGTTACATTCAACTACTTTATATAACCAGCAAATATTTTATTACAAGATATAGCCATTCATGAGTTTGTGTTGCCTGTTTATTGTAATAAGAATCAAGCAGAGCTTAACTGCGTTACAAGTAAAACAAGTCCTTCCTGTTCAGATTTATGTTTGGCTTTAATGTTCATTTCAAGCATCATTAAAAAGTTTTTTTTAGAGAATTCAAAAATGTCTTGCTGTGTAAGAGTAGTCCTCAGAACTATAAACTCTTGTTGTCAGCACAGACCAAGAGCATGGGTTTTTGAATAACACCTAATCAGAGATGAACAGTCAAAAAGGATTCAGAGAGGGAGCAAAAAAAAGGAGGAGGCACAAGAGGAAGAACAGCCATTAAATATAGAATGAAGAGGAGGGGGGAGTTACAGAAAGAGCAGGTGGAAAACAGTAGAGATGTGTCGAACAGAGCGCTGCATCCATCAATTATTCAATACATCAGTAACTCAGCCTCTCTTCTGCCCCAAATAACATTAGCTGTCCTGGATAGAGCCAGGCACAAAGACCGAAATACACACATGATTGTGAGAAGACAGTAAAAAGAAAGTTTAACTTTGCAAAAATACAATAAACTGTGTTCCTGGACTGTCCTTTTTTTCTTTTTTAATTCTTCATTGTGTGTTTATTTGAAGTTGTTGATCTGAGTCACTGTCAAAGTGTTATTTTAAGACACAATCGTCTTGGTTTTATGTAGGCGTAGATTCAGGGTTGGCATCAGAGAGGCATCTTATCTGATTGGTCCCCTGCAGAGCCTTTAGTCAGTCACTAATGGCTGTACAGTCAACGTTACAAAAGTTACAATTGAAGAATTTTGACATATAGCATCTCAGTCAGCTTTCAAATTGTGTTGTATTTTTACTGTCAGTGTTTTTACTGAAATACAGGTGCACGTTTTATTATTGTTTTTACCAGATTGGGTTCAATTGGCCTTTTTTATTACTGCTACCTTCCTGTTTGGGTTTCTCTATCGTCCAGAACTCATCTGAAAGTGAACATTAGCAGTTTGAATCTTGCATCAGGGGTTTTTCACTAATCCTTATTAGCAAAAGCAGGTTTTCCATTATGGTATAAAAGCTTCAAAAACATGTTTTTGACCTACTCATGTTAGGTAGATGAAGATGCTTACAAGTGATGGAGAAACATAAAAAATACTTTAAAACGTGACAGTTTTTGAGCTTCCAAGCAGAAAGGGGAAAAATAGAAACAGTTATTTGTGTGTTTTACTGCTTTAATTATTTTTGTCCTCTTATCCACTGAAACAATCAGTCCTCATGCTTAGCGAGCTCTTCTGTGTTTTATTACATATGTTTTGTGAAAAATTTTGGAGCCAGAAAACACTTAATGTTATTTAGAGAGGTCACAGAAACTCTTAAAGTGTAAGTTGTTACTAAACATTTAGCAGTTATTTGTGCCATTTGTTCAACACAGTTTGAACCACCAGGAGCTAATTAAAACAGATTATGCACGGTTACAATGCTGTGTGAACAGCACTGTCTCAATTTATTTTTTGTCAGTCAGCTGAAGTGTGAAGTCGTTTGACTGAAGCTGATGGGATACAATTGGTGTTTAGCTGTCAGAAGGACTTGGCCTTTTAGAAACTTGTGTCAGTGTAGTTCAGTCTGCTGCAGAATTGACAGCTCTGTTTTGAAATGTGATGTGAAATGTAAGCACAACTGACACATTTACCGTTAAGGATGTTAATCGGGGTGTTGAGTTGTCAATCACATTTATATATATATATATATATATATATATATATATATATATATATATATAAATACATATATATATAGCACCATAACAAAAGTTTTTTTCCAAGACACTGTACAAAAAAATCTAACAGATTCAAGTCAAATCCATTTTGTTTTCAATTCTGATTATTCCATGCATCTATTAAAGATTTTGTCTGCACTTCATTAACTTCACTGTTGTGGGGATGTTGTTGCTTGTCTCCAGCAGTCAACAGGCACAATGCAGGGTACATCTTGCACAAGTGTGCAGAAGTTCAGAAGAGCACAGGGTCAACACAGGGACACAGCGGCAATCATGCAAACACACACACACACACTATTATTTAGTGTCCCCCAACAGCTCCATATGAGGGTCTGTTCTGTTTAATTTTTATTTGTTCCCTTTAGCTGATAGTAGCATATTTAGAATGCATTTGCTAAAGAATAAAATTTAGGTTAAAATATAGGAATCCTTTTTGATTAGAAGTGTTAAGTTTTAACTGACACATCAGCAAGAATGTAAAGTTGCATATTATCATCATAGGAATGTTACACTACTGTATTTTTTGGACTATAAGGCACCCTTAAAATCCTTTAATTTTCTCAAAAATCGACAGCGAGCCTTATAATCTAGTGCACCTTATTAATGGCTGTGCTTACTGACTTCGAACCGATTTTATGTGGTACACTGCGTTCAAAAATCTGTCAAAATGAACTTGTTTTGCTTAATGAGCCTTACAATCCAGTGTGCCTTATGTATGAAAACAGACCCGTTCCTTGATATTATGCCTTATAATCCGATGCACCTTATAGTCCGTAAAATATGGTACATTACTGCAATTCCCCACCTGCTGGCCTACCAAAAATACTTAATACAAAACTCAAAGAGATCTTAACACTGCTGCCAGTATTTTAACCTGCAACAAGAGTCCACTTAAGTTTTGACATAGGTTTGAAGAATGTTATACATATTTTATTGATTTTATCTAAGCCACATTTGAAAACAAAATATATTTTGTAGAAAACAGGCTGTTAATAATTTAATGTTTTAATGTTGTCTTTGTGTTTCAGAAAAAAGAGTGGTTATGTCTCAACTGCCAGACACAGCGGCTGATGTCTGGAGGCGGCCTTGATGAGCCTCCTCTCCCTGTCCCTCATCCATCCCCTAAACACCAACCAATGGGCTCACCACGTCACCAGACACCAACCAGCCAGCAAAGCCCTCTTCACAAGCCCACCACCACTCAGCAGGGCCCCAAACTGGCCCAGCCTCAGACACAAAAGCCACAGGTGGGAACTGGTGTTGGTGGGCCATTTGCTCCCACGTCTACCAAACAGTCGACTGACACCAAGACCACAGCAGCAGCCGTAACACCAGTGCCAACCACTGAGACCCAGAAACAAACTAAACCAACAGAGGAGAAGTCCAAGACTGAGCCTGAGACCCAAACTGCAAAAGAGACCAAACCCTCACAGTTAAGAGGAGAGCAGATCACACCTGTCAAGGAAATCAAAAAGTCCAGACACTACGATGTAAGTTTGATTTATTGTTACTGAGGCGTTCATGCATGGAAAACATAAAGTAGAAAAAGAGACAATTCAAAGTGAATGTCTGCTGCAATTTGCCATAGAATTAAAAGCTGATATGTTTTCATAAAGTTAAACTGAACAGAGCACTAAAATGAGCTAAACAAATGCTTAAATTAAAACAAAACAGATGCTAAAATTTGAAAGATAAAGCTAAAATATGCTAAACTGTAGCAAAATGCTACAAGAAAAGGAAATGTAGCTAACAATTTGTAGAACAATAAGAAGTAGAAGAGTAGCTAAAAGCTAGAACTCACAAAGCTAGTTCTTGTAGGGTTGATAAATATACATGTGCATAAGTCAAGCAAATACTGTATTGTTACATTTTGTTAAATAAAAAAAATCTTCATTGGTAAAAGAAAAACTAAACAATGTTGTATATCAGCCAGCCCCAATTTTTATAGTTCATCGAAGATCAAAAAATGTTGGCCGACCTCTCATTTGAAAAATTTACTTTTAAGTAGAATTTTATTTTAAATGGAATTAAATATTTTAAATTTACATGAAAAAAATTACAAACCGAAAGTCGTAGTATTTATGATTTATGAATAGTTAAAATAGTGCTGTGTTCAAAAGTAGTTTGAGTGTAAAAACATACTAAGTAAACTATCAACAGGAAAACATTAATGTGAATGCTAACTCAACACTCGCACAATAAAAGCACACAAAATATGCAACAAGTATAATAACAATAGTGCTAATAGCTGATTTTAGGTGAATATTCTGTATACGGTACCACCATTAAACATACTGTTCTCTGATCAGGTGAGTGTGTGATTGTTTTAGGGTGGCCCTGCTTCACATTTATAAAGATTTTCCAAAGACTAATAAGTTGATGTCAACCGAATTAAGCTAGTGTTTAACTTCTACACCTCAGTAATTGACATGTGTGATGGTTGGCTTTATAATAAGGAGTTTTATGTCATGGTTCAATTTCACATTATGTGATGTGGGCCAGTTTGAGATGACTAAACTGAGCAATGGTGGATAATTTAAAAGATTTGTCCCACTAAAATAAGTTATCATCAGCACAGTAATCATTGTTTGAAATAATTAATATATTAATCTTTACATTGAACAAAAATACTGCATGTTAGCAATTGCTTTTCAGCTCAAGTGACCCAATGTCTTGGTTAATTTTCTGTAACATCCTGATTGTTGCCATCCTTCACTGTGTGAGCTTGAGATCTACAACTAGGACTGTCATTTCTTATGAAATGATCCGAGTTCAAATAATTGGCACAAAAAAGTAGCAGTAAATATGCATACATTCAAGAAATTCTAGGCATTTTATTATAACAAAATTCTATCCATCTATTATATTTTGCCCACTTGTCTTTCCTGTGTCGTGCTGCAGCTGGTGCCAATCTAAAGCAGTCACTGTGCGAGAGGCCGAGTACACACTAGACAGGTCACAAGTCCATCACAGGGACACATAAAGATAAACAGGACAGACAACCATTGACACTCCCACTCACACCTAGGGACAACCAAGTTATCAAAAAATGCATGTTTTTGGTCTGTGGGAGCAAACTCAAGTAAATGGTGTCAATATAGCACCCCATTATCGTATATGTAATGGTCCAGAAAATAGTAAGACCTACCTAGCTTTTAGGGTTTTTTAGAAGTAGGATTCGATAAACATTTTCCTTATATTGCTTTGTCTCCTCTGGAAATTAAATATTAAGAATATTGTTCTAAATTAATAAGACAGGAACTGTCATTGCTTTAGAAAAAATGTGTGTTACAGATGAAGAATGCATATTCAAACTGAATGAAGGCGACCTTTGCCAAAGGGTACACGTTGGGAATGTCATTATTTACTGTACATGTATATTTTTGCATATACTTAATTTGGCTATTTAATCAATTTAAGTTGTGTTTTTAGTTTTTAAAGTCACAGAAAATGAATGCATTTGAATAGTCTTAAATTGTAGGCAAAATGATAATGGTGACGATTAAGAGCACATTTTTATACTCTCAGTAAAATGTGACCAAAATAAAATAGCCAAATCTGATACATTTATTTTTGTTCTTTTTTTCTTTTTAGGATACAAAAAATAACAGCACCCACGACTTGTCACGCAGCCCTCAGAGCCTCAGTGACACCGGCTACTCCTCTGATGGGATCTCAAGCTCACACAGTGAAATTACAGGCCTAATCCAGGAGGAGGAGATGAAGCTGAGTGAGAGAGGGATCAGTGGGCGGGGTTCCCCACCTAGTCCCTCTGAAATCACCAAATTAGAGAGCTCCATGAGGCCACTGTTAGAAAAAAGCCTCTCTGAAGAGAAACCAGACAGAAGGGCAAGGAGGCACAGAGACTTAGATGACAGAGGAAAGCAGCGTCCACGTTCACTTTCAATCCCGCCAGATGCATACGACTCTGACGAGGAATTAGAGGATATAATGGAGGAAGAAGAAGATGGTGGAGACTGGGAGGGGAAAAGGAAAGAGGGGAAAGATGAGAAGAAAGAGAAGAAAAAGAAGGAAAAGGAGACTGACCACACTGAGATGACTGATGAGGAGTTCATGAGAAGACAAATAATGGAAATGAGTGCAGATGAAGACAATGAGGAGGAAGAAATGGATGAAGATGAAGATGAGGAAGATGAGGGATATGGCTACCAGAAACCCAAGAAAATTCACCATAAACACATCATGTCTGATTCAGGGAAAGAAAAAAGACGCCTACAGCATCATTCTAGTAGTTTTGAAGAGGAAACTAAAACCTCTACTGATGTTTACAAGAGCTCATTGGAAGAGGGTGAGGAAGATGTGATGGCATCACAGGGGGGACTGAGGCGCTTCAAAACTATTGAACTCAACAATACTAACAGTTATAACAGAGATATAGAGCTGAGCAATGAAAATGATCTAAGCCTTGATCGGGAACCAGAGCTGGAGATGGAGAGCTTGACAGGATCTCCTGAGGAGCGTTCAGGTCATGACTATTCTTCATCTCTGCCCCCAACTTCATCCTCATATGGCTCAGGGCAGTCTCCTACATCTATCTCATCAATGGAGGAAGACAGTGACAGCAGCCCCAGTAGGAGGCAAAGACTAGAGGAAGCCAAGCAGCAAAGGAAAGCACGCCATCGCTCTCATGGCCCTCTGCTTCCCACTATTGAAGACTCTTCAGAAGAGGATGAGTTAAGAGAGGAAGAAGAACTTTTAAGAGAACAGGAGAAAATGAGAGAGGTAGAACAGCAGAGGATTAGAAGTACAGCACGAAAGACCAAAAGGGATAAGGAGGAGCTGAGGGCACAAAGGCGCAGGGAAAGGTCTAAGACCCCACCTAGCAACCTTTCCCCCATTGAAGATGCTTCCCCTACTGAAGAGTTAAGGCAAGCAGCAGAAATGGAAGAACTGCATCGTTCTTCTGCTTCTGAATATTCCCCTCAAAGTCTTGACTCTGAAGCTGAGGGCTATGAATCTAAAATTTATAAGTCAGGCAGTGAGTACAACTTGCCTACGTTTATGTCTCTATACTCAACAATTGAGAAATCCTCCACAACCACAACAACAACTGCACCTTCATCTACTTCTAAACCTCTGAAGAGTGCTGAAGAGGTTTATGAGGAGATGATGAAAAAGGCAGAAATGCTTAAAAAACGAGATAAACTACAGCAGCAGCAACAACAACATGTACGGCATGGGCAGTACTATGAGGAGGATATCAATGGACAGAATTATGATGATGACTATGACTATGAGCAAGATCAAACTGAATATGACAATGAAGCAGCAGAGACAGAAACTGATATATATGAGGAAATTCGACAAGCATCTCAAAACATCACCAAGATGCAGCAGGCTACAGATGAACAAGTAGAAATTGAAATTGAAAGCTCTTATCCTGACAAGCAGCTCTTAGATACAGGCTCAGCCTTTGCTAAGCTACTGGAGCAAAGTAATGCTCTCTTAACTCCAGGGACCAGCCCTACCCAGATCTCAGCTCCTGTCTCTTTTGTTGAGACTGGGGGTAGGATACCAGATGTGAGAGTAAGCCAACATTTCACTACAAAAGATGGACATAAAGACAGGATCAAAAGTCAAGCAGGAAAGAATGGAATTACACCAACAGTGGCTGCTACCACCATTGCAGCTTATGGAGTTTATGCCAGAGATGCAGTAACTCTCTCTCAAATGAGTTCAAGCCACACTGTGACATCTACTCAGTCTGAAACATCTCGCAGACACACCGGAAGTTTTGCTACATCTTCAGCAACAGTCTCAAGTGTATGTAGCAAGATTGCAGAGATTACCCAGGCATACAGCCAAAGAGAAGTGATCACCAGGAGGGTTGGGGAAACTAGGGGTGTCCAGATGCGAGACAACTCAACATCCTCTACTGAGAGGATTGTTGAACCACGTTCTCCTAAGTATACCACTTATTACAGAAGCACTAGTCCTCCTCTGTCTCCATCTCCACCACCACCACAAAGTCCAACACGCTCCCCTTCGAGAAGGGCGACTTCAGAGTTCTCTACACAAACTTTTAGCTCAGCACTGCGAATGGAGCCTGCTGATTCTGGGCCACCATCACCAGTGATGGCTCAGGGAACCCAAACATTACATAGATCTATTTCACCACGGTTGTATCGACAGCAGTCTTCCCAGGATGTCCCATACTCCCCACCTCCAACCTCAACTAGGCCAATGACTGTGAATACTGCTACTTCCCCCTTGTCCTCACCAACTCGATTTAGTTGCCAGTCAACATTTGACAGTTATTCTCCTTGTGGCAGCCCCCCAGACACACCACCTTACCAACAGTCTCCAACACGCAGCTTCTATCGAACACAAAGAGTAGAGAAGGTAAGTGTAGGGACAAGTATGGTCACCACAGCCAGCTTATATAGCAGAGGGTCTGTGTCAATGGATAACATCTCCCTCTGTAGAATATCCACTGTCCCAGGTACCTCAAAGGTAGAACAGGGTCGTATGATCCAGGGTGGTAGTGTTGTGGATCTCAGAACAGTCACCAAACCAGCTCCTATTATCATGACTGACCAGGGAATGGATCTCACTTCTTTAGCTACAGAAAGCAGAAAATACTATGGTGGACCAGAGGGTAGCAGACATTCAACAATTATACAGCCTTTGATTATGAACTTACACACCCAGGAGACCACAACACCAACTACTGTGAGTGTCACAGTAGCCGCTTCTATGTTTATGACGCAACCCAAACAGCCTACAGTTTATGGTGACCCTTATCAAAACCGAATGGATCTGGGTCAGGGTATGGGCTCTGCTGTGTGTCTATCTCCTAACAAAGCACCTGTCTCTCCTCCAGCTGACCCATCAATTCCAAAAATTGATGCTAAACTGGAAGATCTCAGTATCCAGCAGAGAGAACTGCAAAAACAACAAGAGAAGCTGCAGAAACAGCAAGAGATCCTTGAACAACAATTACAACAGCACCATCAGATGCAGCATCAGCAAACATCAGTTTTAACCAAATACAACAGTCCAAGCCAAATAACACCTTTACTCAAAAAAAACTTGATGGTCAGTCAGACTAGTGCTGCCTCAGTTATGGTAAGTGCAGTATCACCTGTCATTAACCCTGAAATGTATGGTGCTAGCCCCATTGAGCTAAGAGGAAAACCCAGTCCACCTGGTTTAATGCCAGGAGTACAATTATCACATAGTATGGTAGTACAGATGGATGGCGGGCCAGAGCCAGTCAGAGCTGTAACTGAACTAGTAAAGGTGGAAGAAGGTCAGGATGCAGTGGATCTGACAGGAGGCCAAATAAAGTCTGACAACCAACCCACTTGCTGTGATGTTGTTTACAGACTTCCTTTTGGTGGAAGTTGTGTTGGTGGCTCTGAGAAAGAGGGCATAAGGCCACCATCTACCCCTCCTATCACCTATGAAATTGAGCATGAAAGACAACCTGGAAGGTACCATGAATATCCAATGGAAACGCGTAAGGCCTACACGTTACCTTTTCCTGGTAGGCTCCAGCCTTCAATGTCTGATACAAACCTGGCTGATGCTGAACTACACCATCCTAAAATGGAACCACATCTTCAACCTTCAGATGAACTTGTGATGGATTTAACAGCAATGAAACAGGGCTATGGAGGATACATGGGAATGCAATATGGCTCCTATACAGATTTGCGGCACGGAGGAGACATGTCAGCTCAAACACTTCCTATAAGAAGATATAATTCCTTGTCTAACATCAGCTCAGATTATGGCTATTCTGCACGTGACATTGCTAGCTTCCAAGAAGCTAACTTGGCCCAATACAGTGCTACAACTGCAAGAGAGATCAGCCGAATGTGTGCAGCACTTAATTCCATGGATCGGTATGGAAGCAACCCAGACTTGATGCAGTTTTCTAGCTTAGGGAGAGGTACTGGGCCAGGTGCTTCCAGACTAGCAGCAGGCATTGGATTAAGACAAAATCTTATGTTTGGATTAGATGGAAAGCCACTCTCTCAAAGTCAGGCATTGACAAACCTTATCAATGCCAGGCAGGCAAGTCTGAGAGCCATGTATCCTGCTGCTATTAGGTCTTCAGATGGAATGATTTACTCCACTATTCAGACCCCCATTGCTTCAACAGTTCCGATTACAACCCAACCTGCCTCTGTTCTTCGACCGTTACTAAGAGGAGTCTACAGGCCATATGCCTCTCCCAGCATGGCACCAGTGCCCCTTTCCAGTCTTACTAGATTACCAGTAAGCCCCAGAATGCCCTTAATTGGACAAGCTCCAGTTCGTTACCCAGCACCAGGTATTCTACAAACAATTTCAACTATTTCCTCTATCACGTCAGCTGCATCAGCTTCAGCCTCGATAGTAACCATTGCATCTGCTTCTTCGACAACTGCAAACTCAGTAGTTCAGGCTGAACCAGTTTATCTTGGTAAAGGTGCTACAGTGACATCAGCAGTGGTCACTTCAATACAAGGAGCAGTTGTTGTGCCATCCGAACCACAAGAGCAACCAATAAACCTGTCTCAGGCACACCTGAACAGTCAACAGCAACCGAAACAAGTAACAACAGCTCAGCAGCCACAAACTCCCCCTCCAGCCTATGCCTACCCACCCCAAGGCCCTGTAATTAGTCATGGCCATGCACAACCACTACCCATTCCATCTGACCCCACTAGTGGCTTGCCCATTGCTGGGGGTCTTCCCCAATTTCCTCCACCAGGTGCTATTCACAAAGAGGGTGAAACTGAGGCAGAGAGGCTGCATCGGCAACAAGAGCAGCTCCTGCAAATGGAAAGGGAGCGTGTGGAGTTAGAGAAACTTCGGCAACTGCGTCTCCAAGAGGAGCTAGATCGTGAAAGAATGGAGTTGAAGATGCACAGAAAAAAAGAGCAGATACTGGTGCAGAGAGAATTACAGGAGCTGCAGAATATCAAGGAACAGGTAGAGGAAAGAAAAGGGCGTGGAATGGAGAATGTAGTTGGTGTGTCAGTGTCTGGTGTTTGTGTTTTTTGAACAGTTGATTGTTGTTGTTTAGTAATTTGACCTACAAGCTATTACGTTTAATTAGTAATATTGACAATAACTTTAGCGTTTCCATTATTGTGTCAGTATTTAGATATGTTTGCACATTTTTCCCCTCAGATTAATTTAAGCATGATAACTGGTTTCTAGTCATAATATTTTTTCCACCATTAAGAATCTTAAATAATCCTTGAAATTGATTGTTACACTCTGGCATGAAGCAAATTGATGTCTCACCTAATGACTCATGACCTAAATGGTCCCCAATAATCTTTCTGAGTCTCGCCCAAATTAGAAAATTTAAGCGATTATGTTTGCATGTATTTGTATACCTATGGTTTTCTGTACAGTGTGTTTGCATGAATTGCCTGTAATTTGTGTGTAAATGGGGTAGATTATTTTTTTAACTGTTGTCATGTTTGATTTGTTGTTTTGAAGCAGAAGAAAAACAATGAAACTTTCTTTATGTTTAATTTGATGGTCTGATTTGTAACCAAGATAATTTTTTATTTTAACAAAATTCAAACATTTAGCAATCAATTGCAGTTAAACATTTTAATCTTTTGCTACTTTCAGTCCCTAACAGACTTTTGAAAATGTTAACAAAAAAGCTAACTTAACTGTTTCTTCTTTTTTTAATAGAACAAGCAGTTGAAGGTATTTCAAGTTAATTCTGTTAAACAGGTTTGGATGCCTTCTTTAATGAGAATGAACTAAAAATTGAATGTTTGTTATGCATCTCATAACATACATTAGAGGCACAACCTCTAACCCTTTTTGTGCACCAACCTATCATTTGCAAAAAATGCATCAAATGTTTGTGCTTTGTATGACTGTAACAGCAATTACCAATACATGCTACACTTTATTTCAGTTGCGGTTCAGTTGATGGTATTTAGCAAATATATAAATTTGACTAACTTGAAATCATTCTCAAAACTAATCCATCAGCACAAGAAAAAAAAATATTGGCCCATTTATTTTCTGAAATCTTAAGATTTGATTTGCAATTTTTAAAGTTAGTTCCTGTAACAAAAAACACATAAGCCCTGCCTTGTTTTTCAATTCCCCTTTTCCTCATGATCTATTCTCATCTTGTTTTTGTTCATCCATTCATCGCTCTTCTCATACCTTTGTTGAAATTACTCAAAAAAAACGCTGCCTCATTCTACTCTTTTCCATGTATTTTCAGGTGCTACATCATCAGCAGCAAGAACGTGAGAAACAACTTGTTCTCCAGCGGGAGCAGCTGGCCCAGCAGAAATCCCAGTTAGATCAGATACAGTCGTTACAGAAGCAGCTCCAGCAGCAGCTGGAGGAGCAGAAGAGACAGAAAACAGCTGCTGTATTTCAGGGCATGCAGGTAGGAGACCTAGCTCGTCTCTAGACTGGATTTATTACAAACTACCTGACATAGTTGAATGCTATTCAGTCTGTAATTTTCATATTAGTTTTCGTCAAAATGTTGTATTTTATTATTTTTTTGTTTGTTTGTTTGTTTATTGTTTTGTTTTGGGGAGATTTTTTGGAAGGAGTGATTATTATTGTGACAAAATGTGGCTGATGTTCTGGGTGAGGTACAATTGAAAACTTAGGTCAGTTAAAAAAAACTTGTGCATGTCAGAACCTAACATATTATCCATTTTTATTTTTTAACAGCTGGATATGGCCGGACAGCCACTACACCCCTACATAGACTCTCAGATGAACTCTCGCTCTCTCCCCAACTCCTCCTCAGAAATGTGTTTAAGGACCCAAGATGAGCATGAGACCAGGGCTGGCATGAGGAAACACAGCTCCTTGAGCAGACTGAGTAGGGACACCACGGATGGAGATGGTGTGGTGTTTTATGGATCCTCCCGCAAGAATGTGGATAGCTGTGTACAGACTGATGATGAAGATGGAGAGGAGAGGTAACAATATTTGGTTATTGTAATGAAAAATGAGACAAACACCTCAGCAAATTGTATGTGACTTTGTCCATGTATACATATTTATTGTAAAAGGGTTACTACGTTCATCTTACTATTATCATTTTTAAAAAGGTACTAATTCCTACTTCCATCTATCCATTTTCCACATCCGCCTTTCCTACCGGGTCGCAGGGAGCTGGTGCCTTTCAGTCACTGTGCGAGAGGCGAGGTACACCCTGAACAGGTTGCCAGTCCATCACAGGGCACTTCCTGACTTCAAACTACATCCTCTCCTTTTTACTATACAAGAAATGAAATCCCGGATGAGTTTCTTTTAAAGTACACATCAAATCTACAGAGTTTTTTTGGGTTGTTTTTTTTTTGCAACTGAGCAAACAAAATCCCAACTGTTGGATTTTTTTTGTTTTGTTTGTTTATTTTCTGGCCTAGACATTTGCTTTTAAGAAAACTTCCTGGTCAAGTTTAGCTTTGGACTTTTGAAGTAAATGTTTGTGATCATTTTAACTTGGACCCTGAAACTGAACTTTGCTTTTCTTTTAATAGAGAAAGTAGACTTCTCTTTAACCACTTTTGATCTGTTTAATCAAAACACATCAGGCATTTGTAACCTAGCAAGTAGCATAAAATTGGAGGAAGAAACATGAACTTTTTTGTTTCTCCTTACCGTCAGATATATGATGCGTCACCGCACCCGGAGGCGTGGTCGCAGCGTTGACTGCTCTGTCCAGACTGATGATGATGAAGACAAGGCTGAACATCCAGTCCGTCGAAGACGATCCCGTTTCTCCCGACACTCTGAATCTAGCGCTACTGGCAGCAGCACTGCAGGGACAACCACCTCCGCCTCAGACACTAAAACTGATGCATCTAAGATAGTTTCCTCCAGTATTGCCATTCAGACCATCAGAGAAGTGTCTTGCCAGACAGAAGTAGAGCACTTGGGAAGAGTCTCTCCAGCAATCCATGTGACAATGCCAGACCCTAACAAAGTAGAGATTGTGCACTACATATCTGGACCTGAACGGACACAAAAAGGACAATCTCTTGCATGCCAAACTGACCCAGAAGCACAGTCACAGGGGGTTGTAGCTCCCCAGCTCAGTGTACCAACAACAGTCAGTCCATATTCTTCCTCTACCAGTACAGGAACACAGCAGTCCAGTTCGACTGAACTTCTGACCCACCAGCGCCAGCAGCAGCACATCACAGCCAATGCAGCCAAATTTGAGCGCCGCCGCCCCGACCCACTTGACATCAATTATCAGCCTCACAATCACCTTCACAACGAGTCGATCTCCAGCATCATTCGTCAGCAGCAGACAACCCCAAAATCTCCACAAGTCCTTTACTCACCTGTCTCCCCAGTGTCCCCTCATCGCCTGCTAGAAACCTCCCTGTCAAGCGATAGACTGAACAAGGCCCATGTCACACCTCAGCAGAAGTCCTACACAGCTGAATCCCCACAGCGACACCCCTCCGTCCCCCGACCCATCAAGAGCACTCAAAGGTCCATGTCAGACCCCAAGTCGCTTAGCCCCACTGCAGACGAGCATACCAAGGCCAGGCTGTCCCTGTACCAGCAACAAGCACTACAGAGCCAGGTAAAGTTACTAAAACCACTTTGATACATACAAAATATACTTTTGGTATCATAAAACAGACTAGAAAGTAGTTGTAGAATAGTTCAAGTATAAAAAGACAAGGAATTGACCAATTTTACACAGATTTTGATTGCAACTTCCTTCATGTTTTATTAAAATACAAGCAAGCGCAGGGACACATACTTTTTAAACTTTATTGTTATTGAATTCCTGGACAGTGTTTTAGCTGCAATCTGTCATGTAACAGATAAAATTAATGTATTTTATCATGTATTGATCTTGTTTATAACTATAATAGTGTGATATATTATACAATTACCTTGCTTTCAAATAAGTTTAAAACCCAGTTCTTAAATTTGAGGTTCAATTTAGGATTTTTTAGGATTTGTGCCAATTTTGTTTTAATATGCCCATTTTCTTTACAGTATTAAACTAAACATGAACATGACCTTCAGGTGTTCAAAATCAGAAAATGTGCTACAGCGATCACAAACAATAAGAGACAAAATAATAATAATATTGATTTTACTTTAGTATTATGCTGCGCGCTATAGTTTTTAATTTTAAAGCTAAAACAAACTCCTTTAAAAACAAACTGTCATTAACATCATCATACATCTGATACATAGCATAGAAATACATAACTTGCTCTAACTAATATTAAGAAATTCATATCCATTAATACTGAATATTTTTGTTTGTTTTCGTTAAATGTACACATTTCATTTATAGCTGAAGCAGTTTTTAAATCCCTGAATTTTCATGTAGTTGTTGTAAATATTTACCATTTACAGACTTTGCTGGTATTTTATTTTCCATTTCTCATTAGTATTTATGAAGTATATCCAATATGCAGTTTCTAACAAGCAACAATAAATCTTAGATGCTATGTACACAAACATGTATAGTGGAAATGCATGTTTTCTTGAGGGATGTTGCCACTCTGATGCCAAAAATCAACCTCACCATGATTATTTAGCAAATAAAAACATTTTGATATATAAATTAGAGACTTAAGGTGAAATAAGTACACAATATTTTTAAAAAAATCCTCTCCAGTAGTGGCAGATGAGTAAATTTTCATAATTCTGTGCATTACCTCTAGGTTCATTATTTTTTCTTCCTTAAAGCAGTACATTCATATTGTCCTTGCTCATAATATTATGCATGGCATATTTTCTAATAACTTTAAATAAATAAAAAATGATGGTGTAAAATTTTAAAAGTTTTGTCAGACAATTAAAACTGCAAAGTTATTAATGAGTTATTTGGTCCCATATCATGACATTTTCAAATTACTTTTAACCTTAATATAAAAAGTTAATGTAAATATAGCAAACATTCTGGAGCAAGCAAAATAAAATTTAAATTTTTAACAAATCACAACAATTATGAAATAATAACATGAATTGTCCTCTTTGATGCATTTGCACAATAATGAAATGCAATTACCTCTAAATATTGTACTTTTGTATGTCTTCTAACACATACTTCACTTTTGCTTCCTGTTGTCCTTGTCTGTTTGTCTACATGTCTCTCTTGTTGTCTTGTATGTCCCCTTTTATGTCCTTCCTTCATTTTCTCAATTTCTTGATCTTTTTTCTATTTTTGAAAATCTCACCTCTTGATTTCTTGTTTTCTTTCATTTCCTGCACCGACATTTATTTAACTTTTACCTCATTTTTAAAAATGTTTTCCTTCCACATTTTCTTTGTTTATTATTGTGTTGCATTGTTTCCTTCTTTGTTCACGTGTTAATTGTTTCTCATATTTACATGGTGTCTGTCCATGTAAAATTCTAAATTTGATTTGGTAACTATTAACTAACATTTCTTGTCCTTTACCATTTTCCATCTCTCATCGGTTTCCTGTTTTACTTTCTCACCGTTATATCCTATCAACTTCTCTTACCCCATCCTTGCCCTTTTCTTGTGTTTCTTTTTCCTCTTCAAATGCTCTCTTTGTTCTTTTGCCCTCCCTATATTTTCCCACCCTACCATCCTTCCTCTGTCTTTCTCTTTCTTTAGCTGGCTGCCTTACAACAAAGCTCCTTGCTTCGCAAGGTCAAGCGAACCCTGCCCAGCCCTCCTCCAGATGAAACTACTTCATCAGCTCACCTCTCCATGATGACGCCTGCCCAACAACAGCTCTACCTGTCCTCTATGCCCAGCCTCAAGCCCAGCTCAAGGTCTGGCCTGGCTGCGAAAGCCAGCCTACTCAAAGATCTCACCCATGAGCTGAAGGCTGTGGAGCAAGAGTCAACCAAGCTACGAAAGCAGCAAGCTGAACTGGAGGAGGAAGAAAAAGAGATTGATGCTAAGCTGAGATACTTAGAGCTGGGAATCCACCAGAGGAAAGAGACTTTGGTAAAGGAGAGGGAAAGAAGGGACATTGCCTATCTGAGATGTATGGGTGATACAAGGGACTATATGTCTGACAGTGAGTTGAATAACTTACGTTTGGCAGCTGCAGCTGCATCACATGAGACCAATGGACTGCTTACAACCAGACCAAGCACTGCTCCACTTAGCCAGTTTACCAGTGACCTCAACACAGCTGCCCAATACCCACCCACCTCATCCTTTCTTTCCTGTCAGTATCCCCAGAGTCAACCTGCAGCACCATCTCAACAGTCAAGTGTGCCATATCAGTCATCAACATTCAGCCAGCCTCCTTACCCAACAGTGTCGCAGTCACAGGCACTGCCACAGCCAATACCCCTTCAAAGTCATGCCCCTCCTCCTGGACCTTCCTACCAGCCTCAAACATCATATCCTTCTCACACCTACCCCCAAACTCAGCCCCCGTATCCCCAGACAGATGTGGGGTTACCAGCTGCACCACAATCTCAGCCTCTTCCAGGGCCCACAGGTTTTGGGCCTGCACCACCTGGCCAACCCCCATACCCCACCCACAGCTCACCTTATCCCAGTGCTGTGTCCCCCTACCCCAGCCAGACAACCCCATACCCTGGGCAGCCTCAAGCTGATATCCTTACAGTTCATACAGGAAGACCTAGACAGACTTCTTTAGCTGAACTTGAGCACAAGATGCCTACTAACTATGAAACAATCAGCAACCCCACAGTTGTAGTTACCACCACAGCCCAAGATGTTACCTTTTCCAGTGGAGCCCCATCCTATGGTCAGTACACTGGAACAACAACCATGGCAAGCTCCTATGGGCCTTATGGGTCTGCACCGGTGTCCAGTAGCTATGGTGGTTACTCTACAATGCCACCTAGCACTTATGGTCCATATACTTCATCCACAGCTAGTTCATATGGTTTGTACACAACAACTACTGCTAATACTTATGGGTACACCACCACCACAGCCAGTTCCTATGGACAATACACCTCTACAGTTTCCAATGCTTATGGACTTTCTGTAGACAGCCCTTCAATCTATAGTACAGCAGAAGGAATGTATGGGGCCCCTGGCTTAGAGCAAAATATTCCAAGGAATTACATGATGATCGATGATGTAAGCGAGCTGACGGCAAAGGATGGGCTGGGCACGACTGCAGGAGACATGATGCATCATGGCAGCAGTGGGCGTTACCCAGGTGATATCCATGGTCATGGCAGCACACCTGGCAGCACAGCTCGTGTGGGAACTGGCAGCTCCCCTTATGGCAGGGCACCTGAGGAGGAAGCAGCGATGCAAGAAGAGCTGTACGACCACCACGGCAGGGGTAAGAGCAGCTACAGGCACGGACCTCTAGGGGGCAGCAGCAGCAGCGTGAGCGCTAGCATGGGTGGGGGATCCCCCTATTACTATGACTTTGACTTCAAACATGGCAGCATTCGCTCAGGAGTTCAGAAATCTTTGTCATCCTCCAGAAGCCTTCTGGCTCCTGCTGTTATGTCATCCAAGCGCAGCAAGCACAGAAAACTGGGGAGCATGGAGCAAAAAATCTCAAAGTTTTCCCCTATTGAGGAGGCTCGGGATGTGGAGCTAGATCTAGCTTCCTATACGTCAACAACAGATGAGGCTTACCCCTCTGCCCACATTCGAGGGCGCCAGCTGATGGAGGATTATGGCTTTAAGAGGAGTGCTTACGAGAGTAGTGGTGGCACCAGGCATGGTAATCGAAACTATGGCGTGATGGTTGATGAAGATGATCGGATTTACTACACCTCCACTGGACGCTCCCGTTCCACTGGCTATGGCATGGACAAGATCTCAGCCAGAGATTACCATGGATACCGAAGTCGGTCCTATGAGAGAGATGATCGTTCTTACCAATCTGGCTACAGAGGCCGCATCCCAACCAGGCAGTACTCTGAGGAGGAGAGTCCACTGAGCCCCTTGGGAAGGTTCATGGGTTCTGGACGATCTTCAAGTTTAGGTCCAGACCCATATGACAGCCACAGCAGTAGATATAATTACTACTATGGTCAATATGGTTCCAGTCACTCACTGCCCGATGTTCAAGACCACATAAGGGACCTTCCTCGGACGCATGTCTACAAATCGGATGATACATACATTATAGACGATTATCATTGTGCTGTGTCAGACAGTGAAGGTAATTGTGGGAGCTGAATTCCCACACAGTCTCACTACCTACTACTGCTCCCACCGTTTATCTAAACATCCCCCACCCACCCAGAAGCTAGGCTTAGCAAAAAGAAAGAAAACGCAAAGAAGAGAGCTAGCAGTTGCATGTCAGTGTTTTCTTCTTCCTGAGAGTCACTTGGAGCTCTGTTATCAGTGGACTGCTGTCTGTCTGTCTGCCTGCCTGTTCGTCCTACCGCCTGTTCGTCCAGCCGTCTATTTGTTCAGTACTCGCATGGTTCTTCGACATGGTCGTCTGTGTCTTCACAACACACTGATCGCTCGAGAGGTCTTTGCACGATAATACTGGTTTTTATCTCTAATTATGTTTCTGACACTGATGAACTGTTTATGTCTTCAATTTATGAATATTTGTCAACACTGCAAAACAGTATTTCATACCATTTTTATGAGTAAACATCATTCTAGAGTTGTCATAGTTTTACAGCAGCAATTATTTTTTGCTGCATTCAAAATTTATCAAAACCAAAACATTTCAAATGGTTTGACATGGAAATTGTTTTTTCACGCTGTTGACCTTAATTTTTTAAGGCAGCTGCTAAAAAAACAGTTTTGCAGTATTTATCTTATCTTGTTTACCTTGTCTTGTAGTCTGAAGTCAATATGTGATGTAAACACTGCATGGATGTAAAACTGTCTTTCTTGCCTTTCTTTCTGTGTCTTTCCCTACCTTTCATTTTCTTTTGCATGCGGTGTCTTCCTTCTGTCCTCTTCCTTCTTTCAGCCTGCATGCCGCTGTCTCCAAACGACATGGAGATTGACTGTGATCTGCTCTCGGTTTCCAAAGCCTACCACCTTGGCCAAGAAGAAACCGACTGGTTTGAGAAACCACGCTCGAATTCTCGACATTATGGCAGCAGCCATTCAACTGGGAGAAGTCGGCATAGTGTCAAACATACCTACCATGATTATGATGAGCCTCCTGAGGAAGACCTGTGGCCCCAGGATGATTATGGCCATGGAGGGCGACATTCATCATCCCGTGACCACAGGCATCATGGCAGTTCTAGCCGCCACTCGTCCACATCACGTCACTCTGATGATCCACGGTCCGCTAGGTCAACAAAGGGGCACCCCAAGGACCCATCTATGCACCACGATCCCTCTGGAAGATCCTCATCTTCAGGAAGGCGTGGTGAGTCGAGGTCCAGAGGATATCATTCTTCTGACTACTCAAGAGATCCAACTGGGCACCATCATGGCCAAAGATCTTCGAGGCAGGGAGACCCACACAGGTCCTCACGCAGCAAGTCCCAGGGCCCAGGAGACATGCAAGGCCAACCACCAGGTAAACACAGGACATCATTTTGTCTGATATTTAATATATACAACTGAATACAGTAATTTAACATGTAATAGAATAGGTGTTAAACTTCTTGTCAAGTCATCCTGGTGTATCTATAGAGCATGGAATAACAAATAGTGAGTGTTTTAGTAATTGGTGTATGTATTCTACCTGACTTTGCTCTTCGAAACTAATTCTTACTTGTTTTATGAGTTTGAAATAACTAAACATGTATACTTTTACTTATTTTGGAATATAAATATATAATATTAAATCACAGTCATTCACCAGTTCAGAGAGCATATATAAAGTACATCATGGTAAATGTTGCAGTCAAATGTCACCAGTAAAACATTTGGATCAAAACTGCCAGAAAAACAGACTCTGAACATACAAGAACAGATCAATATTAAGTGCCGTAAAAATACCCATCAAATAAGAAGACATAATTTCACATAATTTATTTCAGCATTTTGTTCAATTGCAAAGATAGAAATTGGGATGAAGAAATATTTTATAAAATATACTTGAAGGGTGAGACGAGGGTGAAACCTTTCTCGAGAGAGTTTAGCCTTTTCTAAGAATTCAGAACAAAACAGAAATGCAGTTTTATTATTCCCTCCAGGCTGAAAGCTTCGGGGGTAGCATGTGGAATAATTACTTATTTTTCATTTCAAATTATTTCCTTCTTCTCTACACAAACACAAGAATCAAAATACTAAAATTAACAACAACACGCAGTAAAAATAAAAATAAAAACGGCAGATACTTGTATTTTCTTCTCTGAACCTACATTGATTGTGAATGCACTAAAAATAATAAGTGCTCCTTTAGTTGTAGGAAGTCATGTTTAAAGAATATGCAAACATAAACTACATGAGGTCTCTTTACTCTCATGAACCTGATGTTAAACACACACACATATTTTCCTTATAAATAAGACCGTGAACCATATAATTTAAACGAGAAACTGTCATCTCTCCTACAGATACTAAACTTTATATGAAACACTGTCAGGACCTGAAAATTACTAAGAGTAAGCTCTGATCCTTTGATAAGATCCATTTTTTTTTTATTATGTTTGACACACTAATATTTAACAGCCTTTGTTGTTCTGATTAATTTTGATGCTCTTTCACTGTCAACAATCCCCTCAGGGATCAACAGTTTTTAATTAACAATATCCAGTGTAACTTTCTTAAGCAAGCGTTTTCCCTAATGGCAGGTCTGTTGCAGTGTTCTGAGGGGTGTACTGATTAAATCACCTATTCGATCTTTGCTCACAACATTTGTTGCTTGTTATTGTCTCACGCCTGCTTTTTCTGTTAGCTGTTGCTGTGTACAGTGTTTTAAAAATAGCATTGTACTGCATAATTTTAATTTGGTAAAAGTAGATAACTATGACTTTTGTGTTTGTATTAAAAATAGGCACTTTTTTTAACAATGAACACAAAATGTTCATTGCAAAAGTAAAAAATAAATAAATAAATAAACACTTTCCCCTCTTTTATTCAGGCTCCTCTAGGTCTGGCAGCAGCTCTGGTCGGGTTCAGGGCTCTGCCGGTGGACTTGCAGGATCAGGGCGTCAAGGTGGTCCAGGTTCCCAGACCGACATGGCTGCAGGACAGAGGACCCAGCTTCAACAGCAAGCCCCGACGTCAGCAGCCAGACCAGGACAGCCCGGTGCCACAGCGACCACTGGCCTTCAGCCGCAGACACCAAACCAAGGACAAGTCATGGGGCCAGGCCAGGCCAAACAAGGCCAGATGGGACCAGCTGGTGGGCCAATGGGACAGGCCAGACAGGCAGGTCCAGCAGGAACCATGCCTTCCACCATGGTAAGTACAGGCAAAATTAGAAGCCTATAGCGTTCCTTAAAGTAATGCACACTGACTGCGTCATTCATTCCAAAGTTCCAGACTGAAAACCTCTTAGAAATATAGTTAGAGACATCTTGATCAAACCTTGTAAATGACGCTTTGCACAGTCTCATCCACTGTTCTGAGATCATGTGAGATATGCACAATGTATGTGTTGAGGCTGACTCTCAGCTACTACCACACAGAAATTAGCCCAGTATATGTGAAATAACTGTGGTATAACCATTCATGGATTGGCTCACTTCGATAAGCTGCAGCACCCACCTTGAGTTTGGTTGACTGCAAAACGTTAACGAGTTGTAGTTGTATATTCAACGATACCTTTATAACAGTTTCAAGAATATTTGTCTAGTGGCTCTTGAGATATTTCGCTAATGCTTCAGACAAAACATGAACACATGCTTTGCCTTCAGTGTCGCGTGATAAAATCTAAAGGAAGAATCGCAAAATGGACAAGATGAATGTTTGTTGTCGTATGATGAGGTGATGATATGGTGATACCTGAATATAATATAATATAATGTAATATAATATAATATATGTATCTGACATGATACAAATTTAGCTGCATTTTTTCAGTTTGAAGAAAAATAAGAAAACCCTCATTCTACTTAAATAAAATTCAGTTTTATATATTTAAAGCTACAATTTATTCATAATTTACCGGTTAAGTTAAATTTAGTCTGCCACTACATTGTCTTTACTAGTTTTAAACAAGGGAATGACACTACGAAATTTACTTTAAATTAATGTTGTCCATAAATATATGACAAGGTGCGTATTTTGCTTTTTACTGTCATGAAAATGTTACTTTTAAACCCTAAACTTACAAACTTTAGTTGTTTTTCTTTTCTGGAAGCAACAAAAAGTGTCTTTCAGACTTAATTTTCAGCTTGTCTTTGTGCTCAACCCTCATGTTCCTCCGTTCCACAGGCTCCTACATGCTCTGTGTGATAAGAGACATCCCAGCACCACCACCATTTCAGATAGTTTATTGAAATTCTGATGGGCCTCTATTGGCAGGCTTTATCTAACACTGCGATTACCACTGAAGCAGCTGATAACTCCATGCAGCCGACTCACTGTGTGCTAGATGCTAATAAACACTGGCATCCAAGCTTTCTCCCTCTGAAGATCTATTCTCATCCTGCATTTAGAATATAAATCCATTTCAATCCATTAGCCATTTGGTGTGTGAAAATGTGGTGATGACACTAACACAACATTGGAAATAAGTTAATAAATCTAGCTTGGTAAATATACATGTGAATGTGCTCCAGTCAGTTCTTACCATTTTAAAGTTATTGCACTGAAAGCTGTTTATGATTTTTACATAGCTGCCAGTTGGTTTAAAAAACAACTGTAAATTAGATCCCCCCCCCCCCCCCCCCCACCCCCACACACACACACACACCACCACCACCACCACCTACATTGTGTAGTTGTATTACATTTTATCAGTCAAACCAGGGTAATAACAACGACTTTCACCAAGATATTAGATTTAAATGAGCTTGTGTGAGATTGTTGACACAGCTAGAAAAGATCATATTTTGTGGACAGAACTCTACACAAAATATTTTGATTCATGCTCAACAATCCAGGTAGAAAAATCCAACACAGGTCATGTTCTCTGGATGGTTTTTCTATGTTGAAATGTTTTGTCTTTCAGCCAAAAGACCATCAATCTGAGGAGCCACAACAAACTCAGTCTTATAAATTACAGAAACCAGCAACATCAAACTGGTTGACCCACTATGAGAAAGTGTTGTTTATAAGACTGAGTTTGTTGCAGCTCCTCGGACTGATGAAGTCTTTTGGACAAAAGACGAAACGTTTTAACAAAAAAGAAACCGTCCAGAGGACCTGACTTAACTTTGTTGGATCTACGCAAAATGGTTTAGATAGTCCAATTGATCCAACACAGCTGGACCTTTTCTTTCTAAGAAGCATCTGGACAAAAAGCCTTAGCCATCAAAAGAAAAGTTTAAACGTTTCCAAAGTAGGAGATGTATTCTTGATGTATTTGGACATATGTCCAAGCACACACACGGAGACAACACAGAGAGCAGCAGTCAGCTGCAGCGCCTGAGGATGAGCTGAAGATAGAGCTCAAGATTACAGCTGATTTGTTACTGCCCTGAACCTCATTTTTACCATTAAAGTGGTTCTAGTCTGCTCCAGCAGCCGCCACAGTAGCTCCAAAGATACTGTTAGAGAATCCAAAGAGGTTCCCAAATGTTTGCTTTGGACCTTTGTCCTTTTTCATATTACTGTACTTGCTACCGTACAAGTTGCACCACCTACATTAGTCCAAAAATGTCTAATAAAGTGCAAAAAAACATAAATAAGTCACTTTGCCATATAACTCGCATCTATTATGAATCACCAATGACACGTCGCATTTATTATTGCTGACCACCCAGAAACGTGGGCCGGAGTTGTGCCAAAAATTGATTGGCTGTCAAATGGCAGCCACGGGAACGTGCACGGTAGGACTTTAACAAGAATTTAACAAAATTATCACACTTTAAAATAATTTGTTTACTAAAAATTACAGCAAAGGTGTGTCTCAGTTGAACTTTTCCTTAATAAATGCACTTTGACGTCAAATCAGCTGCCTTGCAAAAATCGATTTGCGGCTGCTGAAGTGCACAGAGGGAGGACTCACTGTGCATTTCTTCTAAATTTAACAAGATAACTACCTAAAACAATTATTTGTTTAGTCGACATTATAGTAAAGGTGTGTCTCAGTTGAACTTTTCCTTAATAAATGCACTTTAATGGTCAAATCAGTCGCATTTCTCCTGGGCGGCACGGCAAAATGCAGCTGATTTGACGTTTGCTCCAGGAGTTCCGGAGGGAGAGGAAGGTGGCCTATATGGCAAGCCAAATGTCTCATTAATAGCCACTTTTACCTATTAATGAGACACTTGGCTTGCCATATGGTCGAGGGCCCTCTAGTGGCTGTAAATGGTAGTGTTCAATATTTTCCATGTCAGAATGAAAGAGATCTCAGCCAAAAACTGGGCTATAAATATGGGACAAAACATATATTAGTAGCTTCAGTGTATACGTCGCAGGACTTGAAAATTTATGCAAAAAGGTGCAACTTATACGGCGAAAAATATGATCAAATATATTGTCCCAACTCAACAAGAGAGCAGGTTTCTTGGCTGCCTTCTGTGTCCTAATCTCTAATCTGTGATTTTATGCGAGTGTGACTTCTTCTATTCTTGTCTTATTTTAAATGATCATCCTTTGAGTGAAAGATTAATCCTGCATGTGTATAATTCCCCTTTTATCACACTATATTTTGAATATATAACAAATATATTTCCTCCTCAGCAGTCTTCAAAATGAAACAGCATCTGTGAATAGAAGTTAAACACAGGGATGTTTGTCCTTCTCCTCCTCTGTAGATAAAGATTGACACACCTCCAGTTACAGCTATCGGAGCAAAAGCAGCCCCTGTCATGGCCTCGAAGGCTGCCCAGCCCCCACTTACAGGCATAGGTGATGTATAAACACACACACACAAGCCCACATTGTCATCACTTCCATGTCTTGCCAGCTGATGGCCACTATGTTTGACTTATGTAACAGAGTGATGTTTTATTTGATCTGAGGTTAATCCAAAGATAATCCCAAACAGCCAAAAAGCACAAAAGGAGATTTTACTTCACAGCCACAGACCAGCCTGGATGTGTTGCATCGTTACATAATTAGTAAAGTCATGGTGTGTGAAATGTTTCTGTTATTTGTCGAGTGCGTTGGCAGTCTGTGACTCTGAATACAAGTGTGAGGAATTAAATTTGGAGCAGAATGCACTTTATATTCAAACACCATAACATCTCACAACAGAAGGTGGCCATGGCACAAAATGTTGCAAAAACACAATGAAGACCTAAAATTTCACACCCATTATGTTTTCATTACTGGATTTCGTACTGAAACAGCTTTTTAATTGTTCCCAATGATGTGAACATTAAACATTTCCTTCTAAAAGGCAACTGATTCTTGTCTCATTATGTGTGACAACAAAACAGTCACTGTAATTTGGTTGAAACGCATTTTAGGGGGTCGTGGTGTCCACTCAGTTTATACATTTCCTATAAAGAAACAATGCATAAAAATATACAGTTAGTACTACTTGGAATGTAAAAGTTTAAATATAAATAATTGTAATCTATTAAAATAAAGGTAATCCTTAAAGATATTTGAATATATTTTAAAAATCTTTTACAAACATTGTTGATGACCAAAAAAAAAAAAGTACAACTAACATTCAGTGTTAGTTCTATGGAGCTTCTGCAGGGGTCACGGCTGATAACAAAACCTGGGATTATAAAAATCTGTTCCTGCAGTTTAGAAAACCATGCACACAGATTTATAATAACATTGGTGTTGATGGACAGCAGGTGTTGTGCTCAGTTCTGTTTTGTGTCATCTGGGAAATAGACAGAAACGCACAACTAAACATGAAACACGGGTTTTTAGAGACCATCGAGAAAAGCAAAATCCGGCTATAATGCTCAATAACTGTCGTGGAAAAAAGGAGATTTCCAAACAGACTAAAGGTGTAGTCCATCAGATTTATTTACAAAGCTTTAGAGAGCAGTGCAGCATTCACAGAACATTAAATGCAATTACAAGATTACACTCTTATCGATGCTCTCATCCGTCTGAAACGCTGACCTGTTCTAACTCCCTAGACGGAAAAGTTTCATTTTATAGGACGACCTCCAGCCCGGTCCTCACATCCTTCCCCTCCCCATCCGAGCTGCCTCAGACAGAGATGGAGTGGATCTGAGTCAGGGACTCTGCTTAAAGATGTCATCACATCATATAATTAGATGAATCAACACTGAGAATATTAAAACTAGAATTTTCTGTTCCTCAGTGACTGGTCACAGTACGAGTGACAGAACAGTTTATCATTCACAATCACATTACATCAGCAGGAGAACGGACATTGCAGAACATTCCAGCAGGAGAGTTATTGAGCATGATGAGTGATGAACCTTCAACATACACCAAAGTTAGTCATGGAGTTCCTCAAGGTTCAGTGCTTGGACCGATACTCTTTACCTTGTATATGTTTCCATTAAGTAATGTTATTAAACAGCATGGGATACATTTTCATTGTTAGGCTGATGATACACAGTTACATTTGTCCATGAAACCAAATTAATTCAATCAGTTACTCAGACTACAAGCATGTCATAAAGACATACAAACCTGGATGATCCTACATTTTCTGCTTTTGAACACAGACAAGACCGAGGTTTTAGTTTATGGACCGGAGCATCTTAGGAATAAATTTTTGGTGTTATGTTTGATCAGGACATGTCTTTTATCCTCCACATTAAAATTGTTAAGCTTCTTCCACATGCATAATATTGCTAAAATTAGAAACAGCTAAAAATGATGCAGAAAAACTGGTCCATGCATTTGTCACATCTAGACTGGACTATTGCAATGGTTTATTATCTGGGTGTCCAAATGATTCTTTAAAAAGAGTCTTCAGTTGTTTCAAAATGCTGCTGCCAGTCTTAACTGGAGTTTGTAGGATAGATCATATCCAGTTTTAGCTTCGCTCCATTGGCTCCCTGTCAAATTCAGAATTGAATTCAAAATCTTACTTCTAACTTACAAAGCCCTCAACAAACCTAGCTCCATCTTATATTCGAGATCTTATTTTTCCAAATTTTCCTAACAGAGCACTTCGCTCTCAAATTGCAGGCTTACTTGCGGTTCCTAAAGTTTCCAAAAGCAGAATGGGAGGAAGATCTTTCAGTTATCAGGCTCCTCTCTTGTGGAACCAACTTCCAGTTTCTGTCCGTGAGGCTGACACATTGTCCAGTTTTAAGACTGGGCTTAAGACTTACCTTTTTGATAAATCCTATAATTAGGGTCAGTTTGTTATGCTGCCTTGAGCTTTGACTGCTAGGAGAACAAACTGACCTCATTTCCTTAAATCATTTGCTAAAATTGAATAGTATTCATTTGATACTATTTATATTTTAACATGTGATTCTCGACCTGCCATTGTGTATCTGTTCCTACCAAACCCAGCCGGTCGAAGCAGATGGCCGCTTGTCCTGAGCCTGGTTCTGATAAAGGTTTCTTCCTCATGAGGGAGATTTTCCTTTCCACTGTCGCCTTCATGCTTGCTCAAGATGAAAATCTGTGATGGAGTTAAATTCCAAGCAATCTGCTCCTAAGATAAATAGTGTTAAATTATTATTTTCATGAATGTTTTTGTTAACTTATAATTTTTACGTGTGAATGTTTCTGTTCAGTGCCCTGAGATGACTTATGTTGTGACTTGGCGCTTTAATATTCCTTCTCCTTCGCTCTCTTTCTGCTTTTTTCTGGGCCCCATCCTCTGCTGTTCAATCCAGGCTCCAAAGCAGTTCCTAGACCTGGAGGTATCGGCAGCGCTGCAGCAGGTCAGCCGGGCATGGAGGGAGAAGGCATGTTTTCCAAGATCCTGCCTGGAGGAGCTGCTGAGCAAGCTGGCAAACTAGGAGAAGGTACAAAAAATGTTTAAACCAACTTTAAAAACAGAGTTTAGCCATGCCAAATACATTTTTTTAACTATTATTTTCAGCAGATTTACCAATTGCTTTATAGCAGATGTTTCATTACCTCCTCCAAATGAAAACTTACTGATAGATACAAACTGATCTGATAGAGATGGGCAAATTGTTTCACTCAGGATAATATATCAAGTGAACAAACAAAAAGCTACTGAGGTCTCCTCTAGCGTTACATATTTAGACACTGTGAAGCTTTGACATTTTATTTCTCTCCCTTGTTATGAATTATATTTGTTATTGTTTAAATATGGACATTTTTATTGTAATGAACATCTTTGCATTTAAAATAAAACATGTGTTCATTGTCTTTTTTTTCTCTGTCTTGCAGCTATCTCTGGTTTTGGCAAAAAGTTTACCTCTTTATTCTGAGATGCTCATATTTAAGGTATGGTTCAGATTTTTTCTCTATCTTTCAGTGTCGCATGTTAAAAAATATATAAATACAGAGTTAGGATCAGAGGAAAGTTTAACAGGAAACTAATGTGTCATTTGTCCTCCCTCATATTTTGTTTTATAAGCAACAGTGCAGGTGGTTTGATGTGAATACAAAGAAGTAAAAAGTCCCAGTTTGACTGCTTTGGTAATTCAAACGCAACAAAAGTCACTTCTGCTCGCCAAAGTAAATGCAGCGCCAGGCAGCAGTAGTTCTGGTCAATGCTTCATAGAAAAAAAAAAGGTGTAAAACAGATTTGTGTTGCAGTGTTAGCTGCTGCGAGTTGTGCCTGTTCTTCTTGCTGTCAGTGTGCAGTGGTTTGCACGGAGCAGTCAGTGAGCTCCTGAAGCCTGTGTTTGCTTCCCCGTCTTTACTTTTGGTTTTGACTGCTCTGCCTGCGGAGGGGGAGACGTTAATACAGACAGTGTGAGCTTGTTTCTCACTGTCTCCATCAAACAGGATGTGTGGAAACACTGTCAGAGCCGCAGGTTTAGACTCTGTTTGTTTGGAAGGCTTTTCGGTTTCATTTTGGGTTTCTTTCTTTCTTTCTTTCTTTTTTTGGGGGGGAAGTTGGGGGTGGGTATTGTGTTTGTTGTGCGTGTGTTGTTCTGTTCCTTTAGGTTCTCCGTGCCAACAGTTCGTTTCCCCTGTACTTTTCCATTGTCGGCTTTCACTCCCTGGTTCTGCCACTTACACCTGTTCTCTGTAGTCATTTATCCCCGACGTCTCCACTCTTCTCATCTGTCCCAGTCACCACCATACCTGTAGTCTGGCGGTGTGTTTGCTTTACGCCCCTGTTCCGTGCCTCCACTGTGTCTCCTCGAGTTTTTAGTTTTGCTGCCACATTTGCCTTTTGTTTTTTCTTTATTAATAAATCCTAAATTTCAAGGGTTTTTTCAAGCTCCTCATGTTTGCATTTCTGGGTCCAACCTCTACAAACCGTGATAAACAGCAGGTTACTGGCTTGACAATGGACAAATTTTCCTCAAATGAACTCGAGTTAATTTATAGTGTTTTTATTAGTGTTTTATTACCTTTAAAACTTAACAGATTCAAATCATTAGCCCACCAAAGAATAACACAGGCAAAGCACTATTTTTATTTACTCAGTTAACAGTATAGTATTGAATTAGCCTACCTTTGAATATTCTGGTAATTAATTTGCTGCAAACAGGAGTGTTCATTGTGTCTCATTGCTGCTGTTCTGTACTTTATTATAAATTCATGCACTGCTCTTTGCAGAAACAGACTTTAATTAATGGTGCCAATGGTTAACTGACAAACAACTACCATTTTGTTCAGTATCTTGTTGCACAGCTTGAAATAAAACACATCAATTGTGCATCAAAACATACAACTCAATCAGATATAACTTTTGGTGGCAGTACATCATACAACTTAGACAAAATGTATAAAAAAAAAACTGCACAATAAAAACCTCAGTGTTGATCAAAGATGTTAAAACAGCCATTTTAGGAACTCTGGAGCTCAGACACGCTTCACGGAGTTATCTTAAATAGCTCATGAAAACACCAACTTCACATGAATGAATTTCTACTGTATGTTTTACGGCTTTTACACGATTTAAGTTTTTTGATTACTTTTTAAAATTTCTCTATAGAGCATTCAATTGACATTTAATGATGTCACACTAACTTTGAAAATGGCTAAATTATATTAAAAACTTTGGAAATAAACTTTGTTTTACTACCACGTTTGTGGTATTTATACACAAATTATACTTCCATATGTAGGTGTTTTGTCATGATCCGTTTCAAATGAAGGCATTTCTTCTTAGTTTAGATTGTTGCAAAATGAATATGGGATTTTGGGCAGTAGCCGCTTTGAACCATTCAAAATGTCTTCATAAATTTCTTAAGTAAGCTAATTTTTTTAATTTATTTTTTTTATTTTTTTTATTTGCATTTGCAGGATTTTAAAAAATCTAAATGAAGTCATGAGGCCACGTACTAGAAAAACCTGCAACGTTCCCCGTTTTTGTTTTACTAATAAAAGAGACATGAAGAAGAGAGACGGTGGTGACGGAGAGGAGAGCTGAGCACACTGGTAAGGACTTTTAAACTCAAAAGCCTGTTTTCAAGTTACAAACCAATTACAGAGAAGATGTGAAATTCTGCCATTTTTAATTTAACAACTCTTTTATTTTCTAATAAAATCAATATCCATCACAGGACTTCATTTTAAAATCTTTCTACTGCCGTGTTAAGTGTTTTCATGTTGGCTGAAACCAAAGCATGTTCTGTCCCCCATTTGAGCGATATTCATATTAAGTAACACAAATTACAGTAGATCATCCCATTGACATCAGAAGATTTGTAATGGGGGGGAACACATTGGTGGGGACATCTGGGGGGTCCTCCCCCAGAAATTTTTGAATAAAATAGATGTCATTCCCTGCATTCTGGTGTATTATCACAGGTTGTTAAACATCTATGTTTACCTACATAAGTAAACACTTAATTCAATAACTATTTTAGAGAGCAACAAGAAGTAACCTGACCAACAGCTCTCCTTGTGTGAATAGAGCACGCTCCACTTCTCTCACGCATCCTAACAACCACACCCCAAGCCAACAACTGCCAGCACTAAGGTGGTGCTAAATTAGCATGTAGCACAGAAATGTCTCTCATTCCTTTACATGCTCCGTCCACAAAAAAAAAAAAAAAAGTCAGAGATGAGCAACCTGCCAAGCCAAGTGAACCTGGGAAACCACTGCATGTAGTGTGGTGAGTTGTGGTGGGTAACCAAGAAAACCTGGAGTGGACTTTTAGTGGTATGAGTATTCTATTAATCAAGTGGACTAGATTAGTTCATGAAACATCACTGAGTGAAAGAATATTTCATTGTAAATTTGAGGGGGTCCAAATGAGGGTTTTGTTTTAATGTGAGGGGGACATGTTCACTTCACATATAATTGTTGCGACACCTATGATCATCCTTTTCTTTGACAGCATTGTGTTAGTTGTCAGAGTAGTCTTTTTTTCTTCTTCTTTCGGCTGCTCCCTTCTTCAAGGGTCGTCACAGCGAACTAAGTCGCACGAAGACTTGGCAATTGTTTCTATGCCGGATGTCCTTCCTGACGTAATCACAGACCACCGAGCTACCACAGCCCTCTGTGTGGAGCAGAGAGCTGCCATCTAGAGCACCTGGGGGAGCAGATGGTAGGGGTTAAGGGCCTTGCTCAAGGGCCCAATGGGGCAAATGAGGGTGGAGACAGTGTGGGTGTTTCACCTATCCCACCCACATTTTGATGTTGTTGGAACGGGGAGTTGAACCGGCAATCTTCTGATCACAGGTCCACCTTCTCTAACCTCTGCGCCACCACTCCCCTAGCTGTCAAAATAGTCATATATGTTTGTTTCTTTAACGCTTCTGATAAGATAATCAGTCAAATTCACCAGAAATGGAATTTCCCTTCCATATTCAGAGTGTCCAATATATCTATAAATTACTGAAAAAGTACATGAATAATCAATTTGTTAATGTATAAATACTCATACATTAGCATGCAGATATCTGCAAATCAGATACTGTACATCAATATTTTTAACTCTTGAAACTGAGTGGATGTGTGAATTTAAGTTTATTATTCTGCTGCAGGAGATTTCTTTTCAATAGGAGAACATTTTGGTGTCATTTCAATCAGCTGCATCACGTGTTGTTTTTAGACTTTTGTGCATCAAATAGCACATAAACATTTCAGCTTATATATGAGCTTTATTACTAGTTGCTGCAAGTTCATTTTCTGTTTTCCAATTTTTAAAATGCTAAATACACAGGTTGTAGTGGTTCTGTGGCTTTTATTAGAGCAGGAAACATTTTATACTTCAAATTACCCGGAGGTTTCCTCGCTGAGACAATCTTGTGTTAGAATCAGGTTTAGAGATGGAAGAAGAAAAGACAGTCTAAAATCTTCCTGCCTTCTTTTGCAGCCAACGAGGACTGAAACCCTTTGGATGCTTCATTTGTCAACGCAGAGCCAACACTGTCAGAGGAAACACCGCTCCCTCCGACAGGTCACACTGTAAGTTACCTTCGACTTTGCTAAACAAATCCCCAAACTTATTATTTAGGCGGAAACGTTTCCTTCAAAAACTTTGTTTTTCTTACAAATTAACTTTGAGAGGTTATAACATTTCATGTACTGTACACTGTTTAAACTGAGTACATTACAAGAAAGAATGCCAGGGGTTTCAGGAAACAACTAGAGCAACGTTAATGAATCCTTCAGAAAAGAAACCTTGACACAACATCCAGCTGTAGTTGACTGATTACTGCCTCGAGGACATTTGCACATCGTTCATTTAGGATGTTGTCATGTAGAAAGAAGCTGCATTCATCACCTGCTTCTCCAGCAGCCTTAAATCGTTATTGCTGCATTTTTGCAGATGTTGTTTCGCTACTGGCACCTGAAAATTTCTGCCGTCTGGGTTTTATGAGTTTAATAGAACCTGACCGGCTCTGCCAGAAGCAAAACAGTGGAACTACAATCCAGTATGGACGTGAGCAGAGAGACGCTTTATGCTTTTTTTTTATCTGCATGAGCATACGAAGCAAATAAAGCTTAAAAAATTATCTGTTTGTCTTTAATTGTTAAAACTGTAACGCTGAAGTAAAATTAAAGGTCTGGGCAGTCCTAAAAAGAATGTACATCACCCGCTGTCTTTCACGACAGAGTTTAAATTCAGATTGTTTTATGATGAGAAGGGATGAAGTCAGTTATTTTAGTCAAGCCTTGTAAAAATGATGTAATGCACAAATTCATGAGATATTTGTTAACGCCCTAAACTATGTGTTGAAGATGACTCAGTTATTACGACAACCAGTTTCAGCACAATGTCTGTGAAATGGACCGAGTTCCAGCCGTTTACAGAGGAGAGCAGTTGATTTCAGCGTGTGAGCTCAGTGTTGCGTATGCGCTACACTCTGAGTCTAAACTTTGTGAGTGTGTGAGTGTGTGAGTGTGCGTGCGTGCACGCTGTGCAGCTACACACTGACTACCCAACATTTTTCTTTTTCTTTTTTTCACTGTCTTGTGTTTTGGGGCTTTTTTATTACTATGCAGCACGTTGGATCAGTTGGTAGAGATGTTGCCTCTCAGTGAGCAGGTCGCATGGTTCAAATCCTGGCTGGGGGGCCTTTATGGATGAAGTTTGCATGTTCTCTCCGTGCGTACCTGGGTTTTCTCTGGGTACTCCATTTTCCTCCCACAGACCAAAAGCATGTATGCTAGACTGATTGGTAACTCTAAATTGTCCCTAGGTGTGAGAGAGTGAATGATTGTTTGCCTCTATGGGTTCATGTGATGGACTGGAGACCTGTCCAGGGCAGGGGTCTGCAACCTTTGTGATAAAAAGAGCCATTTTTGCCACTTTTCTTACTAATTACGGTGTCCGGAGCTGCAAAACCTGCCACAACTGTGTATAATCAAGTGGTGGCCCGTGAACCACTTCAAGTTTGTTGGAGATGGCTTTTTCAGCAAGTGTGTGTGTGTGGGGGGGGGGGGGGGGGGGGGAATATTATAAAATGAAAAATGTCTTACTATTATTAACATTTATTGATATTTTTACATTTTAATACAAAAGAAAAGAGAAGATTCATGTGATTTTTTTTTCATGAAATTTTTGACAATTTAATGAAAATTAAAACACTGAACTCTGCAGGCCGATGTGAGTTCTCTTGTTGAAGAATTAAGTATCCTATTTAAAGCATAAAAGTCGACAGTTTACAGTATAAAATCAGGCCGGTTTGTTGAATATCCAATTACTCAGGTCTCTCTTGTAAATGAGTCATCGAGGCTCAATGGGATTTATCTGTCTAAATAAAGGTTGATTGATTGATATTTAAAGAAAAAATAATATTTTCATTTACTTTGACTTTGTGTTTTATTCTTAGTGTTAACAGAGTTACTCACCATATTCTTTCTCAGCAGCTTCTCTTAAAGATATTCTAAAACATTCTGCTGGTTTTGAAAGAAAGATCCTGTTGACTGGAAGTTGACTTAAAGTGGCTAACAAACTACTAGCATGATGTAGTCCACATGTTTTATGTGGCACAACGGGCTGGTGCTGGTGAACCCAGTGGTGCAGGCAAGAGGCAAGGATTCAGGATAAATACAAAATAAAAAAATTATGAACAAACAAAAGAGCTGACAGGACAGCAAAACAAAGGTACTCACAGAACAGACAGGTCATCACCAGTGGACAGAAGACAATGCCAGGACGAGGGATAAGACAAACACACAGGCTTAAATACAAATACTGGGAAGGACTAACACATAACACATGCCTTATAACCTGAATCTCTCACTCACTGCTCTTTGAATTGAGAAAGCTCTTCGGATGAGGAGCAAAATGTCTTCTGTTACAAATAAAGTCCAGTTGGTTTTTTGTATTGAACGCTTTTTGAATAGCACGTGAGCTTCACAGGTGTGGGAAATAGAGTAATCAGACAGAAGGGAGCAGGACTCAGACTGGGGGGTGGGGGGATGGGGGGGGTGACAGGCAGGTAAAAGACGTGAACGCGACACAAGGTGGAGCCAGACCAAGGAAACACAAACCCTACATTGCGCTTTATTTGTACCATTTTTTTGAATGTCCAGAGGACCAGATTTAACTTTTTTAGATTTTTCTACCTGGATTATTGAGCATGCATCAGGATATTTGTACCATTTTTCATATATTTGAACATTGCATTAAATCTGCTAAAACTAGCAATTTTCACTGTTGGCAATACTTTAAATAAAATTCAATTTTATTTTAGTTTTGGTCAAAGCCTGAACGAGCTGCTGCAGAGGTATCAAAGAGTCACATGTGGCCCCAGAGCCACAGGTTGCAGACAGCTGGATATAGGCACCAGAGACCCCGCAACCTGAAAAGGAAGAAGCGGGTAAAGATGATGGATGGATGGATGGATGGATGGATATTACTATTTAAAGTAAAAGAAGAGCTACACAGTTTTGTTTGTTTTATTTTGTTTCTTGTCCCTGTAAGCACTGAAAGAATGTCTCTTTTTCTTTTCTATTTGCCTCCATCCATTCAACTTGTATTTGTTCTCGCTTTTTTCACTCATTTGTAGTTACTGCAGTTATCATCCACACTTTGAGGTAAACTGTACTAATGTGCAAACTCTACCTACAATGATAGTTATTATGTAATTATGTACCCGGTACATACTTGTCAATTACTGTATCTGGTACCTTGTAGGCATTTTTAAAATAACAATAAAAATAGAACAATTTAATAGAACAAATAACTATTTATAACTAATGTATCTATAATGTTTTTCTCAACTGGAACAGTGGAGAGTGTTTCTAAATCATGAAAATTCAACTACATCACAAACACCAATGTATGATGGTACAGCTCCAACTCTGTCCTCTCTCTGTCCAGTGTGTGTGTGTGTGTGTGTGTGTGTGTGTGTGTGGGTGTGTGTGTGTATCATTGTCTATGTTTATATGTGTTTGTGTACCAGCCCTTCAGGGCCTTGTGTTCACTGGAACAGATTAAATTTGAATGTATGCAGTTTGTTTGGAGCTGTTAATCTGGGTCAGGCACAGTGGGAAAGAAAAGTGCAAGACACTGATTATAAATAGAAACAATAATCTATTTTCAGATGTAAGTTTGGTGCTGGTCCTACCAGGAGACAGGAGTTCATGAAGACGCAAAGAGGCCCGTCAGTGTGATAACTGACTTCTTGAATCTCAAAAGTATGAAAAACAATTTTTTAAATGAAATGCTAAATGTTAGTTAAAAAACAATAAATTCTTCATTAAACTCTTGATGACAGATTCCGTCTCTGTGTTGCTTTGTGGGTTCTGTTGTAGAGCCAAACTTGAAAGCAAATATTGAAGTAATCTGTGGCGATGACTTGTATCCATGATTTTCTTATCAGGCAGTGATGGTTGTGGTTTATTTTAGAGTGTTTTGAGACCAAAACTTTTTTCTCTTTTTTTGTTTATGAGAGAAATGAAGCTGCTCAATTGTTGTAATGTTTACTGGTCCCAGTCCAGATCCAGGGCTGGTTGACTCTGACTCCGACAGCTAATGATGACAAATACTATCAATCTAAAAAATCTGAGGTTCATCTGCAGAAAGGTGGTTCAGAACCAGGCATCTTTTTTTATGGAGCCAAACCTTGTGATATGTGTAGAATTTGGTTTAGGCTCATCAAAATGTGACCGGCGCAGAGGCTAGAGAAGGTGGGCCTGTGATCGGAAGGTCACCGATTCAACTCCCCGAAGCGACAACATCAAAATGAGGAGGTGAAATGTAAAGCACCCACACCTGCCTCCACCCTCATTTGCTCCACTCTGGGCCCCCACCATCTGCTCCCCTGGGCACGCTAGATGGCAGCTCCCTGCTCCACACAGAGGACTGTGGTAGCTCGGTGGTCTGTGGTTGTGTCAGGAAGGGCATCTGGCGTTAAAACAATTGACAAGTTTTCACGCGACTTAAATCGTTGTGACGACCTGTGAAGAAGGGAGCAGCCGATTGAAGAAAAACATTATTAAAATGTGACCATAGAAAACCCATGTTGTCTAAGAGCAATTTGTACTTTGAGTAATATCACCACGCGTTATCAAAGTTCATGCTCATTAATCCAGATAAAGACATCCAACAATGTTCAGTCAGGTCATCTGGACAGTTCCTTTTTTAGTTGAGAGACGTTTCACCCTCCATCTGAAGGGCTTCATCAGTCTGAGAAGTCACACACAAACTGTTTTCCCCACCAAGCAGTACACTCCTACAGTGGACCAACCAGTTTGCTGGTGATAAGATGGTTTCTGGAGGCCGTCCTCTCCCCCATCGACTCCTCCCAGGCAACCACAGCCAAAGTGGTTCAAGACATCAACGTTCATGTTCAATAATCATTTCGTTGAGTTTTCATCACTCAACGAAATGATTAATAAAGACTGCGAGGTAAATCTGTAGTGCCAAAGTGTGCACGTGACGTCTCCGTGCGTTCTTTTTAAGCGACAGCAGAGCAGGCGTCCTTCTCGTGATGTCCCTGCAGGTGCTGCGTCAGCTCCGGCTGACAGCCTGAGTTAGGAACTTCTCTGGCTTCGTTCTGTTGCCTCGTGCAGCTGCTCGATGCAACGATGAACACGGGAGCTTTTTTTTTTCTTAAAGAAACGTTCATTTCTGAATCTAGTTAATGATTTGCTGCCACAGTATTTTCTTTCAGTGTTGCATTTTGTGTCAAACATCCATCAGGGAGATCTGAGGGAGGACAGTTCTTCCAGTCTAAAGATGAAATCCACTGATGAGACAAGCTTTGCTTTGAACTCTTTAAATATGAACTAGTAAGAGTTGTGATGGGGATGATTTGATCAAACAGAAAACATTTTTGATCAGGGCTTAGTATTTGATCTAAATGATTGGTTTTGCCCAAAGAACCAGCATGTTGCACAAACTAAATAGCTTAAAATGGATTCTGCTCATGTGAAGAATCATATGCATTATTAGTGCACAATGTGCTTTGATTACAAAATGGAAATCCATGTTTTCACTCTACTAAGAGCTTTTACAGCTGAATGGCTGATTTTGTTAAAGTTTTAAGCATGTTTGCCATCTAGTGGCCAGCTTTGATCATTACACAATGGTAATGGCCACCTGCCTCCATGTAGGGCTTCAAAATAAATAAAATAAAAACTGAACTCCCATTTATTAAATCAATCTAAATCTTATCAGTCTCATGAATGACTGAACACATTTTAATGTGACTCTCAGATAGTAATTATTGGCATGATAAGTACAGCTGATTATGGAGTCAATTGGATTCAAGATGGCCGCCACAGCAAAGCAATGTTATGGTTATACCTCAGCCACTTTTACAGATTTTGAGCTAGTATTTGGTGTGGTAGTAGCTGATGATGATCCCCAACTTGTGCTCTGATTCCTAACTGTGCGAGCAAGATCTGTGTTTAAAGCTTTACCATTGACTCTGACTGTTTGTTAGCAAAATATCTCAAGAAGAATTTTTATTCAAACTTTCAGGAAGTGATCATAGTGTGTGCATCCACAACTCATTAACTTTAGGCTTAAACGAATTCAAGATGGCTGCTACAGCCAACCAACTTTACAAAATACTAAAATAGTTACAACAGCCAACCCTTAACAAAAAGTAGTACGTTTGAAGTTCATTTTTGCAAGTACTTTAAGTTGAGTATAAGTATATCAAGGATACTACACACCATACTTGTAGCGTACTAGAAAGTATACTGATTTAATACTTGTTTGGACTAAAATGGGACATTTTTATACTATTTTTAAGTATATCAAATAAAGTTTACAACAAGTAAACTTCAAGTACACGTCCTCATTTTTAGTGTAAAATAATTATACTTGTAATACACTTAAATAAACTACATTTTGCTAAGGGAAATTTACAGATGCTGAGCTAAATGTTAGCACGGTGGTAACCAGTAGTGTAGTCTACATTTTTGTAGTGGGTATACTGTGCTTAGAAACCAAAGTACACTGGTTAGTACAATGTAATTTTCAATTTATTTTGATTTTTAAGTATATTGAACATTTTCAAATTTCTCTGATGCTTATATTTGAATAAATGAACAACAAACTTTGTATTAATGACACGTGTCTAATGATATGTCATCAATCACTGGGCACTTTTTAGTGGGTATACTGAAATTCTTTCTAGTGGGTATACTCCATATGCTCGAGTATCACATAGACAACACCACTGGCGGTAGCTGAGTATAGTCCTCAATACTTTGAGTGCAACACTTTGCTCAACCTTACTTAAAACCTTGGCATTAACTGTTGGAGGTAACCATTTGTCTGTTAGAAAAATATCTCATAAACAAGGGAACAGGTTTCAGTGAAACTAACATTTACTTTTTTTTTTACACAGTAAAATGTGTACTTGCTATACTAATCCTTTTTATCGTTTTTACTTTTTTAGATCCTTCTGAGTCCAAGCCAGCATCCATGTCCAGAGGAACTTTTCATTTTCATTCAACAAGCCCCGGCCAGTGAGCCCAAAGTATTGTTCAGGCTCTCAGATAAACCTGCAGCAGCTTCGAACATCTGCGTCTCTTCCCTACGAAAGAGCAGCTGGAGGCTAAATATGACAGAGGCGTGCGGAAAACATCTCCAAGGAGGTCGCGTCTCACCTCAGACGGTGAGGCTGCTGTGGCGTGCAGACGTCATCGGCCTCACAGTCCTGTGCTCGGTCTTGCAGCTGCATCACCTCGCTCCTCTTCTCTCTCTTTTCAAAGTAAAGGCGCAGGGAAAATGTGAAAACTCACCGCAGGTTTTTCTCGTACTGCAGACCGAACACGACGAAGGGAACCTGAGCAGATCCCAACCTCACAGCGAATGAAAACAGACGACGGCGACGAGGACGCAGCCGACACTGAAGCGAGCGCGTTGGCATGCACGGTTTTCTCTTTTTCTGTCTACATTCCAGATCTGAACTGTGCCCTTCTTCCTCACCTCTCTGCGTTTCCTGGATGCTAATTCTTTCTCCACCCCACCCCCCCAAATCTCCTCCAGCAATCCACAACTTGCCATTTCTTTAAAGAAAAAAAATGAAAGTGGATTTAAAAATAATAATAATAATAATTTGGAATGCATGGAACTTTCTATCTAAGACCTTACACTGTTTCATCAGAACAGAGGCCATAAAGACGTCGAGAAACACATTTTAGCTAGATAGATAATAGGAAAGAAGAGAAATTACTTGAGCAACACGCAAGGATCTGGCCTTGGGAAAAAGAGGAGTATTTTGTTTACTTATGTGTGTGTGTGTTTTTCTTTAAGAAATAATATGACTGGTATTCAAAGTGAAAATGTCAAAGGGTTGGTTTTCAGCCACTGCAAAGCCATGAAGACAATATTTACCTGTAGAAAGTGGCAAATGTTGGTCTCTAAATGCTCCACACAAACCTGGCACTCATATTTTTTTTGTGTGTGTTCTCTATTTATTTTTTTTATCTTTAATATTGCCTTGACTTTATGTTGCAGATTAACAATATCGCCTTAAGTATCTGTAATAGTGGCACATTTTAACATAATTTCTGACGCAACCTTTTTTTTTATGTTTAAAAATCAGCTGGAACACCGATCCCAGAAAGATTCCTTTATATTTTTTTAAATTTACATTGTTTTTGATAATTGTTTGTGACATTATTTATATTTTGTCCATTTTGTAACTTTTTTTTTTTACTTATCTACCCCCTTCTGTCAGTTTTTCTGACTTTTCTTTATTATCAATAAGCATAAAAGCAATAGAGTAAGAGGTAAGAAATAGCACAATCGGGTGTCGTTGTAAAAGCTGGATGAATAGAAATGTGTTGCCTTCATGTGTCTGATTTGCCATCGATGTTGTGCTCAAACTCACCACGCGGTGAGTGGCGGTGTTGCTGAGCTGCTGTTGAATTGCAGCACCTGTTAACCAGGAGGGTCGGTACCACCCAGATCTGTTCCTCCAACGATCGGACCGGATCGGACTAACAACTTTCACTAGCTCTACTCTGATCTGACAGCACTGCAGGGCAGCAGGGAGGCACTGAGACCACAGCAGCAGAACTGGACTTGTCTTCTTCTAATGCGGGGGTGGACAGGGCTTTGGGGGTCCTCCAAGGTGTCGCATGTCTCCTCCCTCCATCACATGGAAACAACCTGAAGGCACACTTGAAACAGTGTCTAAAAATGGAAGAAGACTCTGCTTTCATTTGACCTTTGAACCAAAAAGAAACATCACGCGGCTTTTCTGTTTTCTATTTTCTATCCTGATGGCGTTCGACACCTAGACCGCTTTTTATTTTCTCAAAAATCTTTTCACAGTCATGGAATTTTCTCAGGTCAGTTAATATTTGCCCTGCTGTTGCTTCTGCAGTGCATTGTGGGAATCTGTGGTTTGGTACAGTGACGTACTCCATGAGGCCGGACGTTGGAAGGCCTCGAGCGACACGAACTTCTACTGTATATCGTCTTTGTGAACGCTCGCTGGGAACCTTCGCATGCTGCCCGGCGCAGAACAAAAAAGAAGAAAAAACTCAAAAAGTCACCTCTATATTGTTCCGTTCCTACTGTTTGTACGTTTGTGTGTTGGGGTCGTGTATGCGTGTATTTAACAATCATCGTCCCACGTGGAAAAGACCAGAAAACAAACTGAACCGATACCTGCAGGCAGAGGAGGCAGCCTCTCATCTCCAGTCCTTCTATGCAATGAATCATATTTAGGGGGAACAAAACAGAAATGTGAGGAGGAAACTGCAAGTTGAACAAAGATGGTGAAAGTCATGGTCATTGCGTGTCCCTCCTCAGTTACGACTTCATGTCTGCTTTGTTTTGCGTTTTTTCTGGAATTACGAGTAAAATGTGTCCTTTTCGGGGCAATTTCTCCTCCGATGTGAGGAATCAAAGATCTGTTCATGACAGTTGCTTTGGATGGAAGTAAATGACTTATTTAAAAAAAAAAAATAGAATATAGTTAATAGTTAATAAAGAGAAATATATCTTTTAATATTTTAAGCAGTAACAAAAGTATAATTGCTGCAGAACAAAATGTTCAATTAACAGCAGAAGCAGAAAAAGTTGTCATGAACACGTCTTTGCAGGAACTGGTCACCTTGATTAGTTTAGCAGGACTGAACTGGGTGCACAAGGGTGTCCAAATTTTAGCCCCGCCCCCCCAAGAATAACTGCTATAATCAGTGGTAGCTCAGGGGTCGCATTAATGACCACAAACTAAATCTATAATAAATCTAATAGAAGAATTAGCTATCTTATTGTGTAGAAAATGTTTGTGCAGGAATGCTGACATGAAAGGAAAAAGCTAATTCAGATGTTATAAAAATGTTAGAAATGAATATTTTAGATCTATAAAACATATTTGATCATGAAAAAGGCTGTAAGCTACTGAAGCAGCATGCAAAGCGTTCCTGAAGTGAATTAATACGTGCAATCAGGAGTTTTCAGCGTATATGTTTTTTTTCATTATCAAATATAAAAGCTGTATACACAAAAATATCTCATTTGTGAACTTGGAATACAAAAATGAATCTTCCAGTTTAACATCTCTGAGTTTGCAGTTTAATGTCAACAAATAAAATAAGCTCTACATGTAAATTCAGATTTAAAGGACTATGGAAATATACCTTAAATCAAATTTAAGCTTCACAAGTCACGTAGCTGTTTAAAACGTATAGATTTCTATTTTTTAGAAGCGTTTATTAAATAATTCATCTATATAAATGTTTATTTTATCATAATGAGAGAGGAGGGAAACGTAAACGGTGTTAAGGATGAAAAAAGGGAAATGATTTAGGCTTAAAATCTATAGATAGATAATATATGAAAAGAAAATATATGTATAAAAACGTTGCAAAATTTATTGCACAACTGAAATAATAAGATCGTTAAAAAAAATAACTTTGAGTGTCACAGAAATTTTATTTTATTCCTCAAAGGTCATTCTTGGATTTTTCTCTTTTACTCATAATGAGTTCAATTCAACCTGGAAATGAGTAATCTGATTTATTCTGGTTCTGTCTGGAGCTGTTAAGTTGCACATCAGCCTGGTAATTTTTAACTCACAGATCCACTGCCACTAGATTAAACTCCCAAGAAAAAACAAAAGTCAAAGTAGAACAAATAATATGTAAGAGAGTTTAATACCAACTTCCTCCACCATGTGTTGTAAGTTTTTGGAAGTTTACCAACCTTCAATAAAATGATCCACAATCACTTCTGCCTCAGGAAAGCACACACTAAATGCAACAAGAGACAATAGAAGGCGACGAGTGTTCATGCAGGTGCAGGAAATCCGACTTTCATCGCTTTGCTGCCCAGATGTTAACCTCTGTTCAGCAAAGGGAATGACAGCCACACGCGAACGATTAACAAGAAGTGTGGTGGAATAACGACGTCACTTTTCTTTCTTGGTTTGCTCCTGCATGAATACAGCCACAGGAGGTGACGTAAATATGCATTGCAGTAAGGGCTTTTATACTCCAATAGTGGTCACCGAAGAAAGCCATCCAGTTACTGCCCTCTAGCCAGTCCTTATCTCTGTCTGTCCACTGCATGGTGTCTTTCTGCATCAGACCTGCTCAGACCACAGCCATCGCCTCTGGGAAGCCACAGACTGGGTTTTCAAAAACATTCATGGCTCAAATGTTCCAAAAACTTCATGGAAAGAGGATTAAAACAAGATAATACACTTTGGTAACACTTTACAATAAGGTACACAACATTTACTTAACTACTACGGAACACCTAAAGAGTGAATCAGGAACAAATCAGGAGCTAAGGGGTAGTTAGCCAGTACTTACTGGGGAACACACAGCCAAGACTTATTAGGGGACTACTGGTTAGTTACCGCCCTGTGATGGACTTGCGACCCGTCCAGGGTGTACCCCACCCCTCGTACAGTGATTGCTGGACATGGGCACCGGCGACCCCCGTGACCCAAAATGGAAGAAGCGGGTAAAAGATAATGGATGGATGGTTAGTTACCTTATAAATAAAGAGGAACTAATCAAGAACTAATGGGTAGTTACCAAGTAAATCAAAGAAGAACGAATCTGGAGCTAATGGGTAATTAACCAGTACTTACTGGGGAACGCACAGCCAAGCCTTATTAGGAAACTACTGGTTTGTTACCACAGAAAAAGAGGAGAAATTCTCCATTTGGGTTCTGAATAAACTCTGCACCAGTAAGGTCACAGCTTGTAATGATCAAAAACCTGTTTCCTAGTGATTACTGAATTTATTGCATTTTACCACTGATTAGTAATTTCATAATCTTGTACTGCTGTTATCATAACTATGTCTGACTTACTCTCTGGCTATCACATCACAATTGTTCAACTTTCTGTGGTAACAAACCAGTAGTCCCCTAATAAGGCTTGGCTGTGTTCCTTAGCAAGTACAGGTTAACTACCCATTAGCTCCTGATCCGTTCCTCGTTTCTTTGGTAACTACCCATTAGTTCTGATTAGTTCCTCTTCATTTCAAAGGTAACTGACCAGTAGTCCCCTAATAAGGCCCCAGTCCCCAGTAAGTACTGGTTAACTACTCATTAGCTCCTGATGCGTTCCCTAGTAGTTCATCAAATTTTGTGTACCTTATTGTAAAGTGTTACCAACACTTTTTCTCAATGAAAAGCGCTTAAAACTTTCATTTAAAATGGAACCAAACGTGTTTTTATTAGCTTGCAGATAAACACAAACAGATTTCTTGACAAGTTGAGAGATGAGTTCGACACGAACAGCTGCTCCAAATGCTTTTGGGAAATTCAGGCTGGATGTGGTTGAGCGCTGGTCGGAGCAAAGTGCGGTCGCCTCTGTGCTGGCTGTAGGTCTTAAAGGCAGCCAGTGAAGGATTTTAGAGCTAAAGAAATGTCGATAAAATATAAATAATCTAAATGTTGCCTGGGTGAGAGGTTGTGTGTGAAGAATGCTGAAACAAACAGCCATGAGATCTTTCACCATCAGTGAGCATCTTCTTTGTCTTTCACCTGTAATGAATCATTGACAGAAAATGACAAACAAGTGCATGACCTGAACACCCCCACCCCCTGACCGCCACAGAACCTGCCCTGCTTCTAACCCTCTTTGACCTTTGACCTCCCAGCTCCCATCTTTATTCCACTGTAAATATCAGTCGAATCGATCCGCTTCAACCAGACAAAATGTAAAAGGACATGGTAACACATGTAAATC